GTGTGTGTGTGTGTGTGTGTGTGTGTGTGTGTGTGTGTGTCTGCTATGGCTGAGATGACAATCAGATGGGATTCATTTCTTCATCCAAACAATGTTTAGTTTGATTGATTGTGATCAAAGAGGACTGTGTGCATCAAATAAACTGTTTCCAGATTTGAAGACTGGTGTATTTTTAATGTATTTTATTTTATTTGACTGTTTTCAGGCTTTGTGCATAGAAAATGCATGTATGGTGCGTGGCAGTAAAGTAGGAAGCAATGGAGCCCTCCATCTTATGGGCTCCCTGATCCAGCCGGCTGAGAAAACCATCTATGAGCTCCTGACTGCTGATGGGCGCTTCAAGTAAATACTTCTTCTTTAAATCATTTTAATTAACTTTTATTAATGTTTACATACATGCTAGCTTTAATGAAAAAAATGTTATGTGTAAAAGGTACTATTGCAATGTTTAAAAGAAATAAGGTAAAGCAGTGTGTGGGATATTATGACTAATAATTAAAGAAATCATGCAATTTTCACACCATTAGATTTCATGGAGAATAAAATCATTTGCCATTTCTTTTCCTTGAACCAAAATGAGTTGAAATTACTTTTCTGAAAATTTCTGCATGTGCTTCATTATTTTCCAACAGCTCTATGTGCTCTGATTTAATTAACTTATTATTCTTGTTTATGCTTTATCCTATTTAAATAAATGTAGGATTTTTTTGTCACTGATGGAAGCAGCAGGCCTGGAGAATTTACTAAAACAAGAAGGCTCCTACACCATCTTTGCGCCAACTGATGATGCCTTTGATGGTCTTAGTGAGGAGGACTTAGATTTGCTTAAACGTGAGTACTTTATCAGCATCCAGCCATCCAGCTTTGAAGACTGTTTAGTTTGTTATTTGATCAAAGATGTTCACCATTGTTTTTAATCAGAATGATTTTTGTCTTTGGCAGATGACGAGAACGCGTTGAAAAATATTCTTCTCTACCACTTCAGCAATGGCATCTTCATCAATGGGGGATTAGAGCGAGGAGTTACCAATCTGCTTGAATCTTTGCAAGGCAAAAACCTGCAAGTTAAATCTGTACGTTTCATTTAAAATCATTTGTTACCCCAATTTTGATAAATTAAAAGTTTTACATAATTGTAAAACTTGATCAAGTTTACACATACTAAAATAAAAAAAATGTTAAACAGCTTCTTAAAGCATGAAAATTCATTGTGCTATAAGTATTGAAAAATCTATGAAACAATGCTACAGCTACAAGTGCGTTTTAGAAGATAAAAAAAGTGCAAAGTATTTTTAAATAGAAAGAAAATAATGAGTATTTTAAGAACTGGATTTTGACCAAGAGTTTTATTTTCTTTATACGCAACAGTTTTTAGTGTGCAATCAAACTTTATGGCCCACATGAAGTGGGAGGTGAACTAAGTTGTTGCAAACGTTCTTATTTGAACATTTGACTCAGAGCCATCATTTATTCTACTTTAAAGCTGGAAAATCTCCAGCAGAGTCTGAAAGGAAGCCAGAATTAATAAAAACCTGTTTTCCTGTCTCTTCCATCAACACCCACTTTTGGCATTTGCCCTCCATTTCTACCTCCCACCTAGTCCCTCTCTACCTTTCACTTGTTGCTTTCTGCTGTGCACTTCTTTAATCTTACTTTTGCCTCCTCCTTCCTTTTGCTATTGTGCTGCACTGTTATGGGTCAAGGTCAAGCAAAAAAGCCTGCAGAATGTTTTTGATGGACATAGGAAAGAGTCAGCAGATGAATGGGAGGAAAAAAGTATTTTGCCAAACCAGTTTGAAAAAAAAAAAACTTTCATCGTGCATTGTCATGTAATATGAAAACACAAGATAAATTAGCTGAATGTTTTGCTTTATAAATGATTCAACTCAAAACTAAGAAAACATGATCTACATTCTCAGTTAGTGATTTACATTTTCTCTTTCCACAGGTAAACAACTCAATCTATGTCAACTCAGTGGCTGTGGCAGACAATGACCTGATGGCTACAAATGGTGTGATCCATGTGGTGGAAAATGTGCTTTATCCTGCTGGTAGGAGCAGCATTTAGCCCACTTTACTGCATGTTGTAGTCTTATATAATAAGTAGTAATACGTATGTGATGCATGTTATTCACAGATCTACCTGTAGGCAGTCAAGACCTCCTGAAGCTGCTGGAGAAAATGATTAAAACCATCAAGTTTAAGGTACCTAAAAGGAAAATATACATGTATAGCTGTCTGAGGGCTAAAATATTCTGTTTTGCCTCCTAACTTCCATTTGGTTTTTCTTGTTATTCTCTAGTTTACTTCTGGATACAAATATGTTGARATCCCGCTCACCTTCATCAGTAAGTTACGATTTCATTATTGCAGATTGATGTGGTGCAGTTATTTTAGGCTGAAACTAACTAAAACCGATTTCATTACTTTCACAGAGACAACCATCACAACCACTCATTATGTTGAAGGTAAGACCTAAAACTAAKAAACATTCTGGGACATCATCCTTTAATTAAAATCTGGAGGTTCAAGCAAAGGTTTATATTGCGTGTTCAAATTGGCAAGCAACAATAAATACACGAGTGTCCAGGGTCCAGGTAAGAATTCATTCAAGTCCTGATTTGTTTTGGGACCCMTGGCCTGCAGGATAAATCATAGCTTTGTTAGTACTCATTAGCATGAGTGCTTTTAAAATCAATGTTATGTGGTGGACAGTAGGCATCTTAAATTGATGTTAATGATTTGGGGTGCACTTTACAAGTCCAAWACCATTTAATTTGTTTATTTTCAAGTTTCCAAGTTTGTCGGTGTATTATGTGAATGTCCAGTTTCTACTGTATGAAGCCATGAGGAATCTTGGAATAGCTTATCAGTTCCATCGGGGTGAGGTAATTAAGCAGTCAAAGTCAAAACCATGAAGACCTTTTAGATGCTGTTCATTCAGATGGACCAACTCTAGGTACACTTCCTCAAAAACAGAAGCAAGGTTTGACATATTAGGTTAAAACAGGAGAAAAAAATCCTTATAGTTAATTTGGCACATTTTAAAAAAACTGAGCTGTTATTCTGGAACTCCTAGTTTTTATATTTTAAGAGTTTGAAATCTGATGATGTGCATGGACAGGAATGCGAATGTTGCACTTGATGAAATTTTGACATGTATTCCCAGCAGTCTTACAAACTTATTTGTTTCCCAAGAACCCTGTTTTTCATCAAATACAGAACATGTTGGGGGGGGGGGGGGGGGGGGG